GTTGTTGTTGTTGTTGTTGTTGTTGTTGTTGTTGTTGGGCTTGGCCTCATGTAAGCTGCCCCGAGTCCCCCTGGGGAGATGGTGGCAGGGTATAAAGAAAGATTATTATTATTATTATTACTAGCCGTCCCCTGCCACGCATTGCTGTAGCCCACATAGGGGTTCTGTGTGGAAGATTTGGCCCAATTCTATCATGGGTGGGGTTCAGAATGCTCTGTGATTGTAGGTGAACTATAAATCCCAGCAACTACAACTCCCAAATGTCAAGATTCTATTTTCTCCAAACTCCACCAGTGTTCACATTTGGGCATATTGAGTATTCGTGTAGAGTTTGGTCCAGATCCATCATTGTTTGAGTCCACAGTGATCTCTGGATGTAGGTGAACTACAGCTCCCAAACTCAACGTCAATGCCCACCAAACTCTTGTAGTGTTTTCTGTTGGCCATGGGAGTTCTGTGTCCCAAGATTGGTTCAGTTCCATCATTGGTGGAGTTCAGAATGTTCTTTGATTGTAGGTGAACTATAAATCCCAGCAACTACAACTCCCAAATGACAAAATCAATTTTTTTGAGTGAAGGACATACATTGGGTTGTTAGGTGTCTTGTGTCACCTAATTTGGTGTCAATTCATCCAGTGGTTTTTGACTTCTGTGAATACCACAAACGAACATTACATTTTTATTTATATAGATTATTATTATTAATATTATTATTACTGTGAGTGAACTGAGCAGCCTATTTACTATACAGGAACAAGGCCAGAAGAATACCTTTCTGTGCTCTTCCGTCTCTTGTCCAAGATGGTCAGGATAATAACTCCGGCTGCCCAGAGTGAGGGCAAGGGTCTTGGCATATGCCCAGGAAGCCCATGTTTCTGCAGACCATGCCGGAGAGTAGAAGGCACATGTTTCTGAATCCACTTTGCAGCTTGGAATAGTTTTATTACAGCCCTGTGTCGGTGGCTAGTGCAAATGGCTACTTGCTTAGATGGCAGTGAGGTTGTAACAGACAGCCTTTACTGTATTTATCTGTGAAATGAAGCATTTCCTTCACTTGTCTCTTCCCTGCAGGTATTGACCAAGGTCAGATGACATATGAGTGCCAGCACTGGCATGCCACTGATGCTTGCTTCTGCTGCTCCCGTTGCCACCAGCCTCTTTTAGGGAAGCCGTTCCTGCCCAAGCAAGGTCAGATATTCTGCTCTCGGGCTTGTAGCCTAGGCGAAGACCCCAACGCCTCTGATTCCTGTGATTCGGCCTTCCAGAGCGCCCGTTCTCAGGACTCTCGGCGAGCCAGCTGGCAGCAACGGCGGGTTCAGGCCCAGCGCTCGCCAGTCTCCCATGTGGCCCGTTCTGTTTCTTTCGGAGGGCAGCCAGTGTTGCCGAATTCAACCCCAAGGCTCCGAAGAAGCTGGAGTGGATTGCCCGAGCCTGGGGAGGAGATGCCAGCGGAAATGGAGGAGCTCTCGGATCCAGATAGCAATGCATTAGGATTCATCCAGAGCTGTGAGGAGTCAGTGAAGTGTACTTCCCGGGGAACTTCCACTTGCCCACAACCAGCCACTGAGCACCAACGAGGAACAGGTGAGATAGAGCTGGAGCTCAAAAACATCCCCCCTTTTGGGTTGTTGTAGGTTTTTTCAGGCTATATTGCCATGTTCTAGAGGCATTTCTCCTGACGTTTCGCCTGCATCTATGACAAGCGTCCTCAGAGGTAGTGAGGTCTGTTGGAACTAGGAAAAAGGGTTTATATATCTGTGGAATGACCAGGGTGGGACAAAGGACTCTTGTCTGCTAGAGCAAGTTTTCAACTGATCACCTTGATTAGCATATAATGGCCTGACAGTGCCTGGAGCAAACTTTTGTTGAGAGGTGATTAGATGTCCTTTTTTGTTTCCTCTCTGTTGTTGTGCTGTTGTAATTTTAGAGTTTTTTTAATACTAGTAGCCAGATTTTGTTCCAGTATCATCTTTCGTCCATGTCCCAGCATTATTTCCAATTTTAACTCTACATTTGGCCTTCCCACTGTTTTTAATTGTGTGTTTTCTTATTGATAATGTGGTATATTTTATTGTCTATGTTTCTTAATTGCATGTATTGTTATTATTGCTTGTATTGTTGTGTTTGGGCTCGGCCTCATGTAAGCCGCACCGAGTCCCTTGGGGAGATGGTAGCGGGGTACAAATAAAGTGTTGTTATTATTATTATTATTATAAAATAACACAATTTTATTATTATATAATAATTAAATATTATAAATATTATATGTCTATATAATATATACAATTTATATTGGAGCCCCCGGTGGCGCAGTGGGTTAAAGCACTGAGCTGCTGAGCTTGTTGATCGAAAGGTCGCAGGTTCGATTCCAGGGAGCGGTGTGAGCAGCCCTAGCTTCTGCCAGCCTAGCAGTTTGAAAACATGCAAATGTAAGTAGATCAATAGGTACCGCTCCGGCGGGAAGGTAAGGGCGCTCCATGCAGTCATGCCGGCCATATGACCTTGGAGGTGTCTACGGACAACGCTGGCTCTTCGGCTTAGAAATGGAGATGAGCACCACACCCCAGAGTCAGACATGACTGGACTTTTTTTATATATATATATATATAATCTTTATTAAGTTTTTCAAGTTTTAAAAAACAGATATACAATCACCACAGACTGACCAACACAAAAAGGGGGTGGAAGGGGATAGGTTCGGGAAAGGCGGGGTAGGGGAGATAGGGAAAAACAGAGGGGATTATAAAAAGTAGAAAAACATAGAAATACATACTTACTGAACAACAAACTTCCTACACATATTTAAAAAGACTTCCTATTTTGTGTCCTTCGGTCGTATTGTTAGTGACTATTGGAGTGACTATGGGAGCGGCGTGAGCTTCCGCTGTCAGCCCTAGCTTCTGCCAATCTAGCAGTTCGAAAACATGCAAATGTGAGTAGATCAATAGGTACCGCTCCGGCGGGAAGGTAACGGCGCTCCATGCAGTCATGCCGGCCACATGACCTTGGAGGGGTCTACGGACAACGCTGGCTCTTCGGCTTAGAAATGGAGATGAGCACCACACCCCAGAGTCAGACATGGCTGGACTTAATGTCAGGGGACTACCTTTACCTTTACCTAGCATAGTACAATATCAATTTTAAATATTGCTATATTGTACTATACCAATTCTATTGTAATATTATTAGTAATATTACATGTATTATAAATATATAATTATGATATCATATTATTATTATTAGTATTATATTGCATTACATCATAATATTATAAATATTATGTCTATACAATATATTATTATTAGAATAGCACAGGAGACAAGGTGGAACTGTCCCCTGGCCCCCCACTCTCTTCACTCCGGCCCAGAGCGGCGGTTGGTGCTGGAGAGAGGGGCATTCTCCCAGGCTACATGACTATTGGTTGCATTGGCTGTTATTGAAGTAAATTTTCCTGGCACTGGGATTGTGGTGCAGCTGGCTGAGTGTCAGCTGCATTAAGATCACTCTGAACTCAAAAGGGTATGAGTTCAAAGCCAGCCCGGGTTGGAGTGGGTTTCCAACCAATTGTGTAGCCTGTTGTCGACCTTTGCAACCCGAAAGACAGTTGCATCTGTCAAGTAGGAAAATTAGGTACCACTTTAAAGTGTGGGGAGGCTAAATTAACTAATAAAAAAGACTCCAGCAAAAACATGCGGGGAATGCGGAAGTACTTCATCAGTGTCGCAGATGGACGATGAAAGCGACAGCTCCCCTGGCGGCCAGAAAAAGTTAATTAGCCTCTGTGTATGTCTATATATGTTGTAAGTCAAAATTGGCATTCAATGTTTGCCATATATATGTGTACACTGTAATCCGCCCTGTGTCCTCTGCGGGGTGAGAAGGGCAGAATATAAATGCTGTAAATAAATAAATAAATAAATAAAATGCTTTATTTCCATTGCAATTAGGTCATGAACAGGGGAGGGCTTCCAGGTTTGATGCCTGAGTCTAACAGTCTTGTTTCTCCTTCAGGGACTGAGGTCCAGCCACGTTTCCAGCGTGCCTCCCCCTTGCGCCACTCCATGCCAGAGTTGGGCATTCCCCCTTCTAAAATCCCTGACTGGAGCAGCAGTTCAGCTTCCAAGCTTCAAGCATCTACCCGACCAAGACTCAGTGAAGGGACTGAGCTGGGGACAGGGAGTTTTGCTCGGGGGGGACTACCCCGCGTTAGCTTCCGGGAACCTCTGGTCTCAGGAGAGCCGAGCACGACTTGCCTTGAGCAGACCTCCGTGGACACTCCGGTGCTTCAGAATGGAGGTCCAAGCCGGAGACACCCTCGCTCAACCTCAGACAACTCAATTAACTTGGGGAACCAAGGTTGGAGGCCGAGGAAGGCCACCAGAGAGGGGAGACGAGGCAACCTCTCTTACTCAGCTTCTGAGGGTACTTTTCCTACCTGGCATCGACGCTATCCTCCACGGGGATGGGACTTCAGCTCCTCTGACTCGTCTGATTCCTCCTCAGAGGAGGAAGGCTACTTTCTTGGTGAACCTATACCCTTGCCCCCCCACCTCAGAGGTGAAGCTGGCCCTGTTGAGGCTGCACCGTCTACTGACTCTACACATAAACAACAGCGCCGAAGACTGCGGGTTGCCCGAGACAAGAACTGTGTTGTGGCGTGACCCTACCCTTTACCTTCTGGGTTTGGGATGTAATGAGCCAATATCAAATCAGAATTTCTGGCTGGTTGAAACCAGCATTGACCATTATGTGGGTGATAGCCTCAAAAAATTGAGCTGGGACCTTTGACTGTTACTTCTTCCACCATGACCTTTTTATCTTCCCCTCAGAAAGTGACCTCTTATCACAACTATTCAAGTCTTCTACCTTTCCTCAGGGACACTTGAGTGCTGGCTTTTCCATGGTGACCTTTTGTCCTTTTAGATGTGTGCTCCTTCTCTGAAGAATCTTGAACTCGTCCTGTCTGTGGTAGTCTTGGAAGTTTGGTTGTGTTTATTTCCCATTGTGGCCTTTTTGACCTTTCAACTGTGACCTCTTGAATATACGCATGGACCCTTTTGTCTTGGACTTTCAGCGTTGATGGTCTCCAAAACTTCTCCGTACAGTGCCCTCCGTGAACTTCAAACTACGACTTCTTACCTGGGAACCCTTGAATTCTGGTTCTTGACCTTTCCACTGTGACCTTTGAATTTCTCCTACGTGACCTTTGATCTTTCAAGTGGCCATTATTAATGTAAGCATGTTACAAGATTGTGTGGTTTCGAGCTTTGAGGTGTGTTTTCTCCGTAAGGAAGTTCTTGGGTTATGTGCGTGTTGGGGTGGGTGGGATTGAATTTCATTCCCTGGCTGGTAGAGTGTCCCACTCTGTTGAATATAGGCAGAGTCAAACTTCAAAGTTTGGTCTCCTTTTGTGGAGGTTTTCTAACAGACAGTATTGGCATTTGTCGTGAGGACTTTGATTTTGTATTTCTGCATGGCAGGGAGCTGGACTGGATGGCCCTGGTGGCTTCTTTCAACTCTGATTCTACTTTTGCAGAGTTCCCAGAACCTCTCACTTACAGCACGGGGAGTCACTGCTGGATGTGAGATTCTAGGGCAGTGTTTCTCAACCTTCCTAATGCCACGACCCCTTAATGCAGTTCCTCATGTTATGGTGACCCCCAACCATAAAATTATTTTCGTTGCTACTTCATAACTGTAATTTTGCTACTGTTGTTAATCGTAATGTAAATATCTGATATGCAGACCTTTGCAGAAGCATACGAGAAGCTCGGCCTGTCACTGAACATAGAAAAAACCAAGGTGCTGTTCCAACAGACACCAGCCAATCCCTCTCCAATGCCAGTGATGCAGCTTAATGGTGTAACATTAGAAAATGTTGACCATTTCCGCTACCTTGGCAGCCACCTCTCCACCAAAGTCAACATCGGCACCGAAATACAACACCGCCTGAGCTCTGCGAGCGCAGCATTTTTCCGAATGAAACAGAGAGTGTTTGAGGACCCAGACATCCATAGGGATCCCAAAGTGCTTGTTTATAAAGCTATTGTCCTCCAAACCCTGCGGATTTTTAGTATAAGTATATGTCGTAGTAGTAGTTTGTTGTATTGTTGATCTTTGTGTATGCTGTCTTTCTATGTTGCTGTTCACCGCCACGAGTCGCCCCTAGGGCTGAGAGTGGCGGTCAATAAATGCAAGAAATAAATAATAATAAATAATATATGCCTGTGAGACGTGGACTGTCTACAGACGTCACATGCAACTCCTGGAACGATTCCATCAGCGCTGCCTCCGGAAAATCCTGCAAATCTCTTGGGAAGACAGGCGGACAAACGTCAACATGCTGGAAGAAGCAAAGACCACCAGCATTGAAGCGATGGTCCTCCGCCATCAACTCCGCTGGACCGGCCACGTTGTCCGGATGCCCGACCACCGTCTCCCAAAGCAGTTGCTCTACTCCGAACTCAAGAACGGAAAACGGAATGTTTGTGGGCAGGAAAAGAGATTTAAAGATGGGCTCAAAGCCAACCTTAAAAACTCTGGCATAGACACTGAGAACTGGGAAGCCCTGGCCCTTGAGCGCTCCAGCTGGAGGTCAGCTGTGACCAGCAGTGCTGTAGAATTTGAAGAGGCATGAATGGAGGGCGAAATGGAGAAGCGTGCCAAGAGGAAGGCGCATCAAGCCAACCCCGACCGAGACCGCCTTCCACCTGGAAACCAATGCCCTCACTGCGGAAGAAGATGCAGAGCAAGAATAGGCTCCACAACCACATACGGACCCACAAGAATACTGGAAGACAATCCTCCTCGGAAAATGAGGGATTGCCTAAGTAATTAAGTAATCTGATATGCAGGATGTATTTTCATTCACTGGACCAAATTTGGCACAAATACCCAAAACGCCCGAATTTGAATACTAGTGGGGTTGGGAGGCATTGATTTTGTCATTTGGGAGTTGTAGTTGCTGGGATTGATAGCTCACCTACAATCAAAGAGCATTCTGAACTCCACCAATGATGGAACTGAACCAGACTTGGCACACAGAACTCCCACGACTAGTAGAAAGTGCTGGAAGCATTTGGTGGGCATTGACCTTGAGTTTGGAGTTGTAGTTGTTGGGATTGCCTCCCACTTTTTCTAAGCTCTGCCCCAAAGCCAACAACAGATCCTTTCAATCTAACTGGGTTTTCTCTCTTCCTCTGTTCACCTAGAATCAAAGAGCATTCTGAACTCCACCAAGGATGGAATTGAACCAAACTTAGCACACAGAACTCCCACGACCAACAAAAAATGCTGGAAGTGTTTGGTGGGCATTTACTTTGAGTTTTGGAGTTGTAGTTCACCTACATCCAGTGGACTCAAACCATGATGGATCTGGACCAAACTTGGCACAAACATTCAGTTTGCCCAAATATGAACACTGGTAGAGTTTGGGGAAAATAGACCTTGACATTTGGGAGTTGTAGTTGCTGGGATTTATAGTTCATCTACCATCACAGAGCATTCTGAACCCCACCAACCCTACTTGGCCCAATTCAAGATACAGGGTGAGGCAGCATAACTTCCTTTTTTAAGTCGGTTGAAGACATAGCGGAGCGCTAGCGGTCTCCTTCGAGAGGAAGGAGTATAAAGTTTTATCCTGACACAGTCCAGTCGCCATCATGTGTTGGAACAGTGAAGAGCATGATTTTGCCGTTGAGGCCTACTTTTCGAGGGATTTTGGAGTGGCCGGCCCGCTCTCCAGGTTTGGCCCCTTGTGGTTTTTTTCTATGGGTTTTTTTGAAATCCCGTGTTTCTGTGAACCATCCAAGGACCCTACAAGATTTGAAGACCAACATCCAGGAAGAAATTGCCAACATAAGGCCTGCTATGCTGGCAAGAGTCATGACAAACGCCAGAAATCGGTTTACTCAGTATATGGAGAATAGGGGACATAACCTACCTAAATTGATCTTCAAAACTACGTAAAACAAAACTTTAGGTATGCAACTACGTTATAATTTTTTTTCTAATTCATACAATGGGTTTTATTAAGTTTTGAAAAAAGGAAGTTATGCTGCCTCACCCTGTAGAATTGGGCCAAACTTCCCACACAGAACCCCATGACCAACAGAAAATACTGTGTTTTCTGATGGTCTTTGGTGACCCCTCTGACCCCCCCGCGTGACCCCCCCAGGGGTCCTGACCCCCAGGTTGAGAAACACTGTTCTAGGGTGTTGTAGCTCCTCTTGTCAAAACGCCTCTCACTTTTTCTAAGTTCTGCCCCAAAGCCAACAACAGGTCCTTCCAATCTAACTGGGTTTTCTCTCTTCCTCTGTTCAGTCTCTTTGCACTCATCTTTCAAATTTCCATTTTGAACGGTTTGTTTTGTTTTCTAATTAAGGGTTCTAATTTAAGTAACATTTGAATAAAAAGTTATGAAAACATTCATCTGTTGTGATTCATTACATAGTGCGAGACATTAAATCAGCTGGACAAGTGGAGAGAACAAGTGAAGGTATGGTGCTTGGTTTTGTAGGGTGACCCAAAGAGCCCAGCAGCAGAATCACTAGGTTGCTGTGAGTTTTCTGGGCTGTATGGTCACGTTCCAGAAGCATTCTCTCCTGACGTTTCACCTACATCTCTGGCAAGCATCCTCAGAAGTTGTGAGATTTGTTGGAAACTAGGAAAATTGGGTTTATGTATCTGGAATGTCCAGGGTGGGAGAAAGAACTCTTGTTCATTGGAGGCAAGTGTGAATGTTGCAATTGGCCACCTTGATTAGCATTGACTAGCCTTGTAGCTTCAAAGCCTGGCTGCTTCCTGCCTAGGGCTGCCTAAAGCTGTTACAACCAAGTCTTTTTCTTCTTAAGCGATCCCTCATAGTCCGAAGATGATGGTCCTCCAAGGACGGTGTTCTGTCGGTGGGTCCTTACTCAGCACTCAACTTCAGGCCCTACAAAACCCTGTAGGCCCAAAGTGCCGAGGTGCCTGCAGCCGAGCGCCAAGTAAGGAGCACTTACTTGAAATAGACTTGAAACGAAAGGCAGGTGGGAGCGGGTACRGGCTTCAAGCCTGCTTTTCAGATCCATTGCCGCACATGTAGCCCCAAAGTGTCCGGGCCTGCAGCTGAGCGCCAAGTAAGGAGCACTCCTTACTTGGCACTCAGCTTCAGACCCTACAAAACCCTGTAGGCCCTAAGTYCTGGGGTGCCTGCAGCCAAGCGCCAAGTAAGGAGCACTCCTTACTTGGCACTTGGCTTCAGGCCCGGACACTTTGGGCCTACTTGCACAGCGATCTATCCAAAAAGCAGGTTTGAAACCGGTACCCACTCTCACATGCCTTTCATTTCAAGTCTATTTCAAGTAAGTGCTCCTTACTTGGCTTCATGCCCAGGCACTTTGGGCCGACATGCACAGCAATCGATCCAAAAAGCAGGCTTGAAACCGGTACCCGCTCCCACCTGCCTTTCATTTCAAGTCTATTTCAAGTAAGTGCTCCTAACTTGGCACTCGGCTGCAGGCACCCTGGCACTTTGGGCCTACAGGATTTTGTAGGGCCTGAAGCAGAGTGCCGAGTAAGGAGCACTCCTTACTTGGTGCTCAGCTGCAGGCCCGGACACTTTGGGCCTACGTGTATGGCAATCGATCCGAAAACCAGGCTTGAAGCCGGTAACCGCTCCCACCTGCCTTTTGTTTCAAGTCTATTTTTGTTCCAGGAGGAGACTTCCTGCAGGCCCTGCCAGGCCTGTGTATGTAGGCCCAAAGCCTGCACCCGGAGGCCCGGGTGCTTTGGGCCAATGGGTGAAGTCCCCCCTTCCCAAAAATGGACTGAAAGAAAATGGATCTTTTGGCCCCAGAAAAAAAAAATGAATATCTGTATTGTCGAAGGCTTTCATGGCCGGAATCACTGGGTTGTTGTAGGTTTTTTTTAGGCTATAGAGCCATTCTCTCCTGACATTTCACCTGCATCTATGGCAAGCATCCTCAGAGGTAGTGAGGTCTGTTGGAACTAGGAAAATGGGTTTATATATCTGTGGAATGACCAGGGTGGGACAAAGAACTAGCTCCAACATACAAGAGTTCTTTGTCCCACCCTGGTTATTCCACAGATATATAAACTCATTTTCTTAGTTCCAACAGACCTCACTATCTCTGAGGATGCTTGCCATAGATGCAGGCGAAACATCAGGAGAGAATGCTGCTAGAACATGGCCTACAACAACCCAATGAATATCTGACCTCCCGATTATGGGAGGCTCAGACGAAATGCATCAGGGTACTCACCGAAAGCTGGGACACAAAACAGATGAAGGTAAGCCCCAAATGCACATGACTAATAAACACACACACACACACAAGGTGCAATGATGACACCTCTAAATAGCTGGAACTCTGTATATGTAATTTCACATGTCTATGAGTATGAGCTTCTGCTGTCAGCCCTAGCTTCTGCCAACCTAGCAGTTCGAAAACATGCAAATGTGAGTAGATCAATAGGTACCGCTCCGGCGGGAAGGTAACGGCGCTCCATGAAGTCATGCCGGCCACATGACCTTGGAGGTGTGTATGGACAACGCCGGCTCTTCGGCTTAGAAATGGAGATGAGCACCACACCCCAGAGTCAGCCATGACTGGACTTAATGTCAGGGGACAACCTTTACCTATGAGTACTGGAGATGTACCTACCAAAAATCACATTTCTTTTTCAGAATGAAAAAAAGTTACTGAGACATTTCAGCATTACTCAAAAGACAGTACACACGTTTTCCATGCACCAAGCCGAAGCAAACTGTTTACAGATGTAGTCAAAGGGTCTTTTCCAATTCAGCTATATTTTATTTGCATTAAAACCATTCATTGGAGTTCCTCCCACAAAAAGCACAAAATGCATTCAAGCTGCCTGAGGGACCAAAGGAAAGGGAAAGAGACGTCTGGACGGTCTGGCAGTATTAAGGAAACAAATGCACCTCTCCTCTTTTCCCTGTCCCTATTCCAAATAGGTGGGAGAAACATTGCAAACGTAAGTGCTATAATAGTCCCCATTCCTCTAAAAGATGAAAGAAAGGTTCCCACGTCAATTTATAAATAACACAGAGCCCATAACCACGGGTGCTTGAACTCTGTACTACACCAGAATGATCTAGCAAGGCCACCTAAGTTTCCTGTTAAGAAAAAAAAATATCCTGAATTTTGTGACCTTTTATCAAGTATACATATTTGCATATTTCCTTGGTCACGCTATAGTGACGTGTCTACTGTTTCAAAATACCTGTGAGCAAAATACAAAAAGCTTTCCTCCTTGCCTACCTAGTTCAAAGCATCCCTTTGTAACTGTCCTGCTTATACAGAAGTACAACGTGTGTTTACCTATTTAAGATCGGCTGCCCCACAGAAATGGGTAGAAATGTGTTCACATCAATACATTATTTCCTAAAACAGGGGTCCTCAAACTTTTTAAACAGAGGGCCAGGTCATAATCCCTCAAACTGTTGGAGGGCCGGATTATAGTTTGAAAAAACAGAGGCTGGATGGCCATCTGCCAGGAGTGATTTGAAAGCAATATTCCTGCTTCTTGGCAGGGGGTTGGACTGGATGGCCCATGAGGTCTCTTCCAACTCTTTGATTCTATGATTCTATGGGGGAAAAAACATGAATGAATTCCTATGCACACCGCATATATCTTATTTGTAGTACAAAAAACACTTAAAATACAACAATTAAAATGATGAGCAATTTTAACTAATATAGAATTATTAGTATTTCAATGGGAAGTGTGGACCTGCTTTTGGCTGATGAGATAGGATTGTTGTTCAATGTATTGTCGAAGGCTTTCATGACCGGAATCACTGGGTTGTAGGTTTTTTCGGGCTATATGGCCATGTTCTAGAGGCATTCTCTCCTGACATTTCGCCTGCATCTATGGCAAGCATCCTCAGCTTGGATGTCCTCCTAGATTCAGCGCTGACGCTTGAAGCTCAGGCGTCGGAGGTGGCTGGGAGGGCGTTTACACAATTGAAGCTCATGTGCAAGCTGCGACTGTGCCTCGTGAAGTCAGATTTGGCCACGGTGGTCCACGTCTTAGTTACATCTAGATTGGACTATTGCAATGCGCTCTATGTGGGGCTGTTCTTGAAGACGGCCCAGAAATTCCAATTCAAGAGAGATATTGACAAGCTGGAATGTGTCCAGAGGAGGGCGACTAAAATGATCAAGGGTCTGGAGAACAAGCCCTATGAGGAGCGGCTTAAGGAGCTGGGCATGTTTAGCCTGAAGAAGAGAAGGCTGAGAGGAGGATATGATAGCCATGTATAAATATGTGAGAGGAAGCCACAGGGAGGAGGGAGCAAGCTTGTTTTCTGCTTCCCTGGAGACTAGGGCACGAACAATGGCTTCAAACTACAAGAAAGGAGATTCCATCTGAACATGAGGAAGAACTTCCTGACTGTGAGAGCCATTCAGCAGTGGAACTCTCTGCCCCAGAGTGTGGTGGAGGCTCCTTCTTTGGAAGCTTTTAAACAGAGGCTGGATGGCCATCTGTCAGGGGTGATTTGAATGCAATATTCCTGCTTTTTGGCAGGGGGTTGGACTGGATGGCCCATGAGGTCTCTTCCAACTCTCTGATTCTATGATTCTATAATTGGTCCAACAAGTGGCAGCCAGATTACAAGCCATTGCGAATTACAGAGAGTGGTCAACCCTCCTGTTTAAGGAGCTCCACTGGCTGCCGTTTATTTCCCGGGCCAAATTCAAGGTGCAGGTTTTGACCCTCAAAGCCCTGAACTGTTTGGGATCCGCCTACCTGCGCAACCGCATTTCCATTTACGATCTCTTCGATCTTCCGGAGAGGCTCTTCTCTCGCTCCCGTCCGCATCGCAAGTGCGACTTGCGGGGACGAGAGAGAGAGAGGGCCTTCTCTGTGGTGGCCCCCCAGTTCTGGAACTCCCTCCCCAGAGATATTAGGCAAGCCGCCATGCTGGCAATCTTCAAGAGGAATCTGAAAACCTTGTTATTCCAATGTGCCTTCAGTGATTGAACATAAGATACTCCCTGACCAAACTTTGCACAAAATGACCTCAGAAACACGTTAGTTTATGGTTCATGCAATTAAATCCTTCCTCATCCCCGGATCCTCCTCCCGATGTTTGACATTGGCCTCGGCCTTTGTAAGCCGCACCGAGTCCTTCGGGAGATGTTAGCGGGGTACAAATAAAGATAATAATAATAATAATAATAATAATAATAATAATAATAATAATAATATCTCCCAGTGTTTTAAAATTTTATCCTGAATTTGGCCCTGCCCAGTGAATTTTTTTGTGTTTTAATGTTTGTTTTTATATTGCTGTGTTGCTTATTATATTGGTTTTGCATTTTATGTATTTTATTTTTTGGTTTTATTATGTTTTGTGTTAAATTGTTGTGTACTGTACTGATGGGCATGGCCTCATGTAAGCCGCACCGAGTCCGCCTGGGGGAGATGGAGCGGGGTATAAATAAAGTTATTATTATTATTATTGTTGTTGTTGTTGTTGTTGTTGTTGTTGTTATTATTATTATGTAGCCTGAAAAATCCAGGGAGAGGCGGATGAGCTCCCTCTATCAGCTCCAGCTCCTCATGCGGGGACATGAGAGAAGCCTCCCACAAGGATGATAAAAACATCAAATCATCCGGGGATCCCCTGGGCAACGTCCTTGCAGACGGCCAATTCTCTCGCACCAGAAGCAACTTGCAGTTTCTCAAGTCGCTCCTGACACGACAAAAAAAAAAGAAGCCTGAAAAAAACCTACAACAACCCAAGATTGTTGTTGTTGTGTGCTTTCAAGTAGTTTCAAACTTAGGTTGACCCTGAGCGAGGTGCTGGGCAAATTACCTTGGAGGGCCATATCCGGCCCCCGGGCCTTTGTTTGAGGAACCCTGTCTTAAAACGGAGGGGTTAGTAATGGGCAAAATTGGAAAATGTATTGTCGAAGGCTTTCATGGCCGGAATCACTGGGTTGTTGTAGGTTTTCCGGGCTATATGGCCATGTTCTAGAGGCATTTTCTCGTGACGTTTCGCCTGCATCTATGGCAAGCATCCTCAGAGCGTACCTCTGAGGATGCCTGCCATAGATGCAGGTGAAACGTCAGGAGAAAATGCCTCTAGAACATGGCCATATAGCCTGGAAAACCTACAACAACCCAAAATTGGAAAAGACTTTAAAAAAAATATAATCACTTGACCCATTGTAAATGGCATGCAAGGCTGCTTAATAAAAAAATAATAATCTTAAAACATATATTTGATGAGGCTTGGAACTGGGTCCATTCTCAAGGATTATTTTTTAAACTTTTCTAAAATAATAATAAAAATACTTATTGGAGTCCTCCAAAACAGTACCCAGAGTGAAATAAAATTGGAGGCAAACTAGACAGAAGCACCCAGTCTCTGGTCCCCCGTCTCCCCATTTTAAGTCGGGGATAACGGACACAGAAGAGCAAAGGCACAAGGATTCACAAGAGCCCTTTTATACTTCCCTCCCTGAGGAGGAAAACTAGCAGTAAGATGCAAGGGTCCCGTTTTCTGCCTGATCATCACCAATATCTATCTTGATTTATTTGCTCAACTGGCCTGAAACTGCCTCTAAAAAGAAATATATACAGAGGCTATCCTTATTAGAAGTGCAAGAGCACTTCTCTCTCCTATCTATGAACCCCAGAATCCTCTCTGTTAGGATGAAATCAGCAAAGGAGAACTAGGAAGTGGAAGTTGAACTAGGGTTAGCAAGAGGTTGTTGAGTGCCTTCAAGTCATTTCCAACTTATGGCAACTCTAAGATGAATCGATCACAGGGCTTTCTGGGATTGAGTGTGTGACTTGCCTAGGGTTAACCAGTGGGTTTCCATGGCTGAGCAGAGACTCAAACCCTGACCCCAACACTCAAAGCACTATGTTATGCTGGCTCTCAAGATTAGGGGAGAAGAATGATCTGTCGGATGGAATTTGCCTCCCAAAGGGAGACATCAAGAGAAAGAGGAGAAGAGGAAGAGAAACGTTGCCAAATAGATTGGGATATTCTTCTGGTGGGAAGCAAGAGGTGATGGGTCCTGTCTGGTGTGCCATCATGACGAACCAGAGAAATGGCCTTTTCAGATCCCTTCTGTAGGCTCTGTAAAAGAGGAAATATGAGCATAAGCAATTATTTTGGCATAGTATTTTCCTCAAACAAAGATGTGCCTGTGAACTAGGCATTTGCAATCCATGGTTCTAAAGTACTTACAAAACTAAAGTTCTGGTGGCGAAAACTAGGAGACACTGGTGCTTTGGTTTAGCAGTGTTGCTAAAGTTCTGGTGGTGAAAATTTCAGAACTCTAACAAAACTTTCAAAATTTCAGATTTCTAATAAAACTTTCAAAATTTCATTATAAATGGCAGTTCCTAATTGGTTCTGTCATAATAATAATCAATAATGAAATAATAATGAAATAATAATAAGAGAGAAGAGAGAGGGGGCCAGGGGACAGTTCCATCTTGTCTCCTGCATATGTCATCAGTTGGGGACCCCTCTCCCAGCACCAATTGCCGCTCTGGGCCAGCGTGACGAGAGAGGGGGCCAGGGGACAGTTCCATCTTGTCTCCTACATATGTCATCAGTTGGGGACCCCTCCCTCCAGCACCAACTGCCACTCTGGGCCAGAGTGAAGAGAGAGGGGGCCGGGGACAGTTCCATCTTGTCTCCTGCATATGCCATCAACTGGGGCCTCCCCCCAGCACCAACTGCCACTCAGGGCCAGAGTGAAGAGAGAGGGGACCAGGGGACAGTTCCATCTTGTTTCCTGCATATGTCATCACTTGGGGACCCCTCCCCCCAGCACCAACTGCCACTCAGGGCCAGAGTGAAGAGAGAGGGGACCAGGGGACAGTTCCATCTTGTCTCCTGCATATGTCATCAGGTTGGGGACCCCTCCCCCAGCACCAACTGCCGCTCTGGGCCAGAGTGAAGAGAGAGGGGGGCAGGCAACAGTTCCATCTTGTCTCCTGCATATGTCATCAGTTGGGGACCCCCCAACTACTGCTCTGGGCCAGAGTGAAGACATAGGAACCAGGGGACAGTTCCATCTTGTCTCCTGCGTATGTCATCAGTTGGGGACCCCCTCCCCCAGCACCAACTGCCACTCTGGGCCAGAGTGAAGAGAGGGGGGGCCAGGGGACGGTTCCATCTTGTCTCCTGCATACGTCATCAGTTGGGGACCCCTCCCCCAGCACCAACTGCTGCTCTGGGCCAGAGTGAAGAGAGAGAGGGCCAGGGGACGGTTCCATCTTGTCTCCTGCATACGTCATCAGTTGGGGACCCCTCCCCCAGCACCAACTGCCGCTCTGGGCCAGCGTGAAGAGAGAGGGGCCCAGGGGACAGTTCCATCTTGTCTCCTGCATATGTCATCAGTTGGGGACCCCTCCCCCAGCACCAACTGCCGCTCTGGGCCAGAGTGAAGAGAGAGGGGCTAGGGGACAGTTCGATCTTGTCTCCTATGCTATGCTAATAATAAAATACAATTTAAAGTGATATAATATATTGTATATACATATAATATTTATAATACAATCTAATGCAATATAATACTAATATTAATAATATGATATTATAATTATATATTTTATATTGCATGTAATATTACTAATAATATTACAATATAATGGTATAGTACAATATAGTAATATATAATACTGATATTGTACTATGCTAATAATATAATATATTGTGTGTGTGTATATATATATATCTTGTAAGCTGCTCTGAGTCCCCTTAGGGGTGAGAAGGGCGGCACAGAAATGTCGCAAATAAATAATAAATAAATTATATTGCAGTGGTCTATCATTTGATCTTTACCAGTGGAGCCTCTGGTGGTGCAATGGGTTAAACCCTTGTGCCGGCAGGATTGAAGACCGACAGGTCAGAGGTTTGAATTTGGGAAGAGTGCAGATGAGCTCCCTCTACCAGCCCCGACTCTCCACTCAGAGACATAAAAGAAACCTCCCACAAGGATGACAAAACATCAAAAACATCCGGGCATCCCCTGGGCAATGTCCTTACAGATGGCCCATTCTCTCACACCAGAAGCAACTTGCAGTTTCTCAAGTTACTCCTAACATGGGACCTACCGGTGGGAGCTGCTGTGTGTGCTCTTCTCAGCTTCGGTAAGATGGTGTAAGCATCATAACCAAAGAGGATCCCAGTAAGAATTCCAAACACCTGTGGAAGGAAAATGTCAGTTTAGCTTATATCATTTTGCTCTACTTTATTTTACATTTCTTACCCTTTTTCTAAAGCAGTGGTTCCCAAACTTTGGTCCTCCAAGTGTTTTGGGCTTCAGCTCCCACAATTCCTAACAGTTGGGAAGCTGGCTGGGATCTCTGGGAGTTGAAGTTCAAAACAACTGGAGCGCCAAAGGTTGGGAATTATTATTATTAATAATAATAAAATGTTATTTATACCCTGCCTCCATCTCCCCCAAGAGGACTCGGGGCAGCTTACATAAGGCCATGCCCATCAATACAGTAAACACAATAGAAACACAAAAACACAATCGAAAATAAGAAAATAAATTACATAAAATGCAAAACCAGTATCAATAAGCGACACAGCAGCATAAAATCAAACATTAAAGCAGAAATGATCACACTGGGCAGGACCAAATTCAAAGATAAAATTTAAAACACTGGGAGATAGGACAAAGTAAAAATCAGGGATGGGATTCGAGGATGAACCATAAACTAAAGTGTTTCTGAGGTCATTTTATGCAGAGTTTGGTTAGGGAGTATCTTACATTGACGGCACATTGGAATAACCAAGTTTTCAGGCTCTTCCTGAAGATTGTCAGCGTAGGGGCTTGCCTAATATCTATGGGGAGTGAATTTCAGAGCTGGGGGGCCACCACAGAGAAGGCCCTCTCTCTCATCCCCACAAGTCGCACTTGCGATGAGGGCGGGAGTGAGAGAAGAGCCTCTCTGGAAGATCTAAGAGGTTGTGTCGGATCGTAGATGGAGATGCGGTCATGCAGGTAGGCGGGTCCTAAACCATTTAGGGCTTTGTAAGTCAAAACCTGCACCTTGAATTGGGATCGGAAAATAAATAGCAGCCAGTGGAGCTCCTTAAACAGGAGGGTTGAGTGCTCTCTGTAATTTGCACCAGTTAGTAATCTGGCTGCCGCCCGTTGGACCAGTTGGAATTTCTGGGCCGTCTTCAAGGGCAGCCCTACGTAGAACGCATTGCAATAGTCCAATCTAGAGGTAACTAAGACATGGACCACCGTGGCCAAATCCGACTTCATGAGGTATGGTCACAGCTGGCGCATGAGCTTCAATTGTGCGAAGGCCCTCCCAGCCACCGCCAACGCCTGAGCTTCAAGCGTCAGCGCTGAATCTAGGAGGACATCCAAGCTCCAGACCTGTGACTTAAGGGGAGTGCAACCCTGTACTGTTCTACATCTACAGTTTTCCAAGGATTGTGGCGTAGCCATACAAACAATGCAAACATATTGTCCAGAATCTCATCCCAGTTAGAGTCAACCCATTGGCTCAATTCTTGCATGGAAAGTCAACAAATTGGTAAATGCAGTTGATTCAATGGGTCTATCTTGGTTGAGACTAACAATGGGAAGTAGGCCATAAAGACTGTATTTTGGGTTTTTTTTTTGTCGTGTCAGAAATCGCTTATGGTGTGAGAGAATTGGCTGTCTGCAAGGATGTTGCCCAGGGGACGCCCGGATGATTTTGATGTTTTTATCATCCTTGTGGGAAGCTTCTCTCATGTCCCCGCATGAGGAGCTGGAGCTGATAGAGGGAGCTCATCCGCCTCTCCCCGGATTCGAACCTGCGACCTGTCGGTCTTCAGTCCTGCCAGCACAGGGGTTTAACCCACTGCGCCACCGGGGGCTCCTTGTATTTTGTTAACATGCTGTCATACAAGGACTGGTGAAGTATCAAGGAGATTTCTTTAGCTAGAACAGACAGATATATTTCTGTTAAGCCTTGTTTCTACCACACTCTTTTGCTTAATCCTGGCAAAGGAACAAAGTGGTTGTTGCCTATGAGATGTGGAGAAGGGATAAAACAAAGGCATACTTCAGATGACCCCCAACTCTACTACTCCTTTCCACCTAATTCCAAGCAAGCCCCTTGGGTGGTGGATGAGTGCCTGGCCGCTGTGACTGTCTGGATGAGGATGAATAAGCCGAGGATCAATCCCGACAAGACAGAGGTCCTCCTGGTCGATCGTAAGCCGGATCAGGGTATAGGGTGGCAACCTGTGCTCGATGGGGTTGCACTCCCCCTGAAGTTACAGGTCCGCAGCTTGGGTGTCCTCCTAGACTCATTGCTAACGCTTGAAGCCCAGGCGGTGGCTGGGAGGGCCTTTGCACAACTAAAACTCGTGCGCCAGCTGCGACCGTACCTCGTGAAGTCGGATCTGGCCATGGTGGTCCATGCCTTAGTCACCTCCAGATTGGATTACTGTATTGCATTCTACATGGGGCTGCCCTTGAAGACGGCCCAGAAATTTCAATTGGTCCAACGGGCGGCAGCCAGGTTACTAACTGGAGTGACTTACAGAGAGCGGTCTACCCCCATGTTTAAGGAGCTCCATTGGCTGCCGTTCATCTTCCGGTCCCAATTCAAGGTGCAGGTACTTACCTACAAAGCCCTGAACGGTTTGGGCTCCTCCTACCTGCGTGACCGCACTTATTTATTTATTTATTTTTATTTGACTTGTATACCGCTACTCCCAATTTGGCTCGGAGCGGTTTACAGCAGTAGATTAAAACAATACAATTAACTTTAAAATACAATAAAAACAAGAGCAGACATAGTCCCGAGTTATTCACCCTTCGAAAGTTTGTCGGAAGAGAAAGGTTTTACAGGGTTTCTGAAAAGCAAGTAGGTCTCTGTTTACAAACCCACGCGATCTCTCCTATCATCTGGAGAGGCCCTACTCTCGCTCCTGTCCCTTTTGCAGGTGCGATTGGTGGAGACGAGGGAGAGGGCCTTCTCTATGGTGGCCCCCCGACTCTGGAACTCACTCCCTAAAGATATCAGACAGGACCCCACTTTGGCAGTCTTTAGGAGGAGCTTGAAAACGTGGCTATTCCAGTGTGCCTTCCCTGAATAATGGAAATAATACTCAATTTGACCAACATCTTGACCAATATGTCCTCTGAAGCACTTTACCTATCTGCTGGATTGATCTCCCTACATCACTCTTTAAAACCCCCATGTTTAGACATACCCTACTTTATATACGCCAGTGTTTTAAAATTTTAATCTATTACATCTGGCCCTGCCATAGTGTCCTAAATGTGTGTTATTGCTTATGGTAGGTAGGTAGTCCCCTGACACTAAGTCCAGTCATGTCTGACTCTGGGGTGTGGTGCTCATCTCCATTTCTAAGCCGAAGAGCCGGCGTTGTCCGTAGACACCTCCAAGGTCATGTGGCCGGCATGACTGCATGGAGCGCCCTTACCTTCCCGCCAGAGCGGTACCTATTGATCTACTCACATTTGCATGTTTTCAAACTGCTAGGTTGACAGAAGCTAGGGCTGACAGCGGAAGCTCACGCCGCTCCCCGGAATCGAACCTGCGACCTTTCGATCAACAAGCTCAGCAGCTCAATGCTTTAACCCACTGCGCCACCGGGGGCTCCGTTATTGCTTATATGTTTAGTTATATTTTTATATTGTTCTTATTTTGCTTGGTTTACTTTGTTGATGTATTGTTGTAATTGTATGTGATGGGCTTGGCCTCGTGTAAGCTGCTCTGAGTCCCTTCGGGGAGATGGTGGTGGGGTATAAATAAAGTATTATTATTATTATTATTATTATTATTTCAAAAGTAATATATGGAATAAGAGCACATTTAATTCAGTGGAGCAAAGAGTAATGACAGGCAATGACCCTGCATCTCCTTGCCAATTACAACATTTCTGAAAGCTCAAGATCCTATATTCCAGCTTCATATCCCCACCTGAAAAGAGTCTCTGTGTCTTTACTTACCCCAGCAGCGATGCCAGCTCCATCATAGTGCCCAATGAGGACAATTAGGGAGGTAATGAGAAAAGCAACGGCTCCTATGAGAGCTCTTATGAAATCCTAATAGAAGAAAGAGGAGGGGAAAGAAGAGGTTACTACTAGGCATGTGCAATTAATGGTTCTAAATGGTTCTAAAATACTTACAAAACTAAAGTTCAAGTGGTGAAAACTAGGGGGCGCTGGTGCTTTGGTTCTACAGTGTTGCTAAAGTTCTGCTGGTGAAAATTTCAGAACTCTAACAAAACTTTCAAAATTTCATTCTCAATGGCAGTTCCTAATTAGTTCTGTCATAAAAATCATCAATAATGAAATAATAATGAGTTTAAAGTTTTGTTATTAACTGTGCTAATCTGAATTTAGGGTCAATCTATGTTTAAATAGATCCATTCATAGCCCAATCATATACACTGGCTTCCCTTGTCTGATCAGAAATAAGTTCCAATTAACAGGGCTCACTTGTGGGCAAATTAATGAATGTAGTAAAATTAGTGTGAATTTCCCCAAACTTTGTTGTTGTTCATTCATTCAGTCGTCTCCGACTCTTCGTGACCTCATGGACCAGCCCACGCCAGAACTCCCTGTCGGCCGTCACCACCCCCAGCTCCTTCCCCAAACTTTAGCTGCATGGATATATATACTGTATATACTCGAGCATAAGCCTAGTTTTTCAGTCCTTTTTTTTGGTTGAAAAAGTCTCCCCTGGCTTATACTCTAGTCAATATTATTTATTATTTGTTGCTGTTATTATTATTAAATGTATTATTTTATTGTTGTTGTTCTTATTACATTTATTGTTTTACTCTATTATTGTTATTGTCACATGTATTATTTTACTGTATTGTTGTTGCGTTTATTATTTTACTCTRTTATTATTATTTTACTCTATTATTATTATTTTACTCTATTATTATTGGAGGACATTTAAGCATATTTACATTGAAGAAGGTTAGAATAATGGTTTAATCAGAGTTGGACAGTCTTATCTTGAATTACAGTTTTATGAAAATATTCAAAAACATTCAACCTACTGATGCCTAAATTAATATAATTTTATTGGTATCTATTTTTATTTTGAAATTGACCCATAAATGCTGCATTTCCCACCTTCAGCTTATACTCRAGTCAATACATTTTCCCAGTTTTTTGTGGTAAAATTAGGTGTCTCGGCTTATATTCGGGTCGGCTTATACTCGAGTATATACGATATATAAAGAATTATAGAATAAAAAATGTTGGAAGTGTCATGACGTTGATGACAGCTTTTTTCATAGGTGGTGGACATGTAAGAAAGCCCAAGAATATTGGAAAAACATACACGAAGAGTCACAAAAAATATTGGGAATTGTATTCCCAAGAAAACCAGAGTATTACTTATTAAATATTACTGGCTCAGATCTTACCTTGGACCTAAATAAAGATATTTTATTTACCTATATTTCAATATCTTACGCGAAACTTTGGAAAATGGATAAAATTCCAGAAGTTGAGGACTGGACATATAAGATGCAAGAGATTAAAGATATGGACAAACTAACTTTTTTTTTTTAAGAAAGCTCGGGAAATCCAATAAAAGGGACAGATTGGTCATCCTTTGAAAATTATTTAAAAGAAATGAGTAAAAAAAATAGTATTTGATAATATACCCTTGCGGGATGTTTATGATATTTGAAACATTTTTTTACTGCCTCTTTTCGGGTATGAATAAAAAAGAGTGTTTAGAGGGAAATGAAAAGAGATAAAAATAGTCAAATAAGTAGTTATATATCACAGGCGAAGACACAGAATGGAAGTCAAAGACACCCCCCCCCCCTTTTTGTATATTTTTTTACTTACTCTCAATACTTTCCTACTTTCCTATAACTCGATGTTCTCCCATTTTCCTTGTAAACTTTTGTAAACTGGTTTATTTTTCTTTTTTTGGTGTATGCATAATTCAATAAAAATGTTTTAAATAATTTTTTAAAAAAAGAATTATAGAATCACAAGGGCCATCCAGTTCAATACCTTCTGCCATGCAGGGATACACAATAAAGAATTTCCTGACAGATGGACATCCAGCCTCTGCTTAAAAACCCCAGGCAAGGAGACTTAACCACAATCCAAGGCAGTATATTCCAATGTCAAATTGCTCTTACAATCGGGAAATTCTTTCTAATGTTGCTAATGTTTAGGCTATTTCGTGGTTTGCCTATTGCGCACTCCCTGTTTTGTGGGTTTTTCCTTTCTTGTTGAGCTAAGGGGGAAAGGAACCACTGTAAAACTCTGTAATTTCAGTGGGATAGCTGAAAGGAGTAAAAGGCAAGCCAGTGCCTTAAATGTCAGTCAGGAGACCGAAAAGGAATAATATTTTGAAGTGAAATAAGTTCAAGCCAGTCTGGTAAAAGGACAAGCCATTTTGGGAGTTATATTGGAAAGTGTTTCAAGTGTCTGTGATAACAGAAGTAATTTGTAACAACATCTAAGGAATACTGAGTAACCATTAAGCTTTGTATGTCTGAGAATCCTTGAATAAATATTTTTTTGTTAAGTTTATTATAATAAAGACTTGTGTCCAGTTATTGAAGATAAGATTTACATGAGTCAACGATGTGATGTGGCGGCAAAAAAAGCCAATGGGATCTTGGCCTGCATCAATAGGAGCATAGTGTCTAGGTCCAGGGAACTCATGCTACCCCTCTATTCTGCTTTGGTTAGACCACACCTGGAATACTGTGTCCAATTCTGGGGCCTGGCTGCTATTTCGGTAGTTGGAGGGGGCGGGGCCAAAAGAGGCAACCTCACAACCCCTCTGAAATGGCCAGGCGACCCCTTGGGGGGTTGCGACCCCCAGGTTGAGAACCGCTGGTCTAGATCTAGGGAAGTAATGCTACCCCTCTATTCTGCTTTGGTTAGACCACACCTGGAATATTGTGTCCAATTCTGGGCACCACAATTCAAGAGAGATATTGACAAGCTGGAATGTGTCCAGAGGAGGCGACTAAAATGATAAAAGGTCTGGAGAACAAGCCCTATGAGGAGCGGCTTAAGGAGCTGGGCATGTTTAGCCTGAAGAAGAGAAGGCTGAGAGGAGGCATGATAGCCATGTATACCTATGTGAGAGGAAGCCACAGGGAGGAGGAGGGAGGAAGCTTGTTTTCTGCTTCCCTGGAGACTAGGACGCAATGGAGGAATGGTTCAAACTACAAGAAAGGATATTCCATCTGAACATGAGGAAGAACTTCCTGACTGTGAGAGCCGTTCAGCAGTGGAACTCTCTGCCCTGGAGTGTGGTGGAGGCTCCTTCTTTGGAAGCTTTTAAACAGAGGCTGGATGGCCATCTGTCAGGGGTTATTTGAATGCAATATTCCTGCTTCTTGGCAGGGGGTTGGACTGGATGGCCCATGAGGTCTCTTCCAACTCTTTGATTCTATGATTCTATGTCTGTGATAACAGAAGTCATTTGTAACAACATCTAAGGAATACTGAGTAACCATTACGCTTTGTAGGTCTGATAATCCTTGAATAAATATTTATTTGTTCAGTTTATTATAATAAAGACTTGTGTCCAGTTATTGATGAGAAGATCTACATCAGAGGAGGACGGCTGAAGATCTGGAAGAAAGGATTCGGTTTATGGTATTGGTGTACCCATTTTAAATTGCCTCAGGAAAAATATTTTTAAAAGTCAAGCCTCACACCAGCATTACAAGCTCCACTCACTCAAACCAGGGGTCCTCAAACTGTTTAAACAGAGGGCCAGGTCACGGTCCCTCAAACTGTTGGAGGGCCAGATTATAATTTGAAAAATTAATGAATGAATTCCTGTGAACACTGCACATATCTTATTTGTAGTGCAAAAACACTTAAAAACAATACAATAATTAAAATGAAGAACAATTTTAACAAATATAAACTTATTAGTATTTCAATGGGAAGTGTGGGCCTGCTTTTGGCTGATGAGATAGGATTGTTGTTGTTGTGTGCTTTCAAGTAATTTCAGACTTAGGTTGACCCTGAGCGAGGGCCGGGTAAATGACCTTGGAGGGCCGTATCCGGCCCACGGGCCTTAGTTTGAGGACCCCTGCTCAAACATACATAAACAAATAATAATTAATTTGCTCAGCCACAGCTATGCTACATATACCTCCTAATTACTCTTATCATCGTCATACATTGCCCAGTCTGTTTGCGTGTGACCCATTACATAAAAATTATTGGTAGCAAGGTGGGATAGGGAAAGAAAGGTCCCTTCTGCCACACTAATTTGCCTCGGCCACTACAGTCTGTGATAGTTGAGACTAACAACTAGCCTACTCCCAGTATAGCCACTCATATCTTTATCCCATCCCAGTACTTACAGTCCATCCCCAGTGGATGAAACCAATCTGACTGTCCAATGCACACGTGTAGATTATAAACATCACGATGCAGTAAATCAACATGCAAATGGCCAATGATGTGTACCCAGGTGTCCTTGAAGCGCCATAGCAGATCAGGATCAGAATACAGCCGCACTAGGAGGAAAAACAGAAGAACAATCAAAAAGCAGTAGTGATCAATGGCAAAAGAACAAATACTTAGAAAGTGGCCCTACGTCTTGCAGTTTGGGGTTGAAATGTGGGTCCATGGGATTGACACACCAACCTCCCTTCTTGCCTTTTCTGTCTTTCTTAAGATCTACATTAGTTGCTTGAAACCGATCACATTTAAGTGCCATTTTAGGACAAAAATCAGACTTCATCAGCCCGTGTTGCTGGTGCATGCAGTCTGTTTACTCTTTGTATTGTCGAAGGCTTTCATGGCCGGAATCACAGGGTTGTAGGTTTTTTTGTGCTGCATGGCCATGGTCTAGAGCAGTGGTTCTCCACCTTCCTCATGCCCCGACCCCTTAATACAGTTCTCATGTTGTAGTGACCCCTAACCATAACAGTTTTTAACCACAACACAGTTTTTAACCATAACATTATTTTTGTTGCCGCTTCAGAACTGTAATTTTGCTCCTGTTACGAATCGTAACGCAAATATCTGATTTGCTAGATGTATTTTCATTCACTGGACCAAATTTGGCACAAATACCTGATGCACCCAAATTTGGATACTGGCGGGGTTGGGGGAGGTTGATGTTGTCAGTTGGGAGCTGCAGTTGCTAGGATTTATATTTCACCGACAATCCAGGAGCATTCTGAACTCCACCAAGGATGGAATTGAACTTGGCACACAGAACTTCCATGACCAACAGAAAATACTGGAAGGGTTTGGTGGACATTGACCTTGAGTTCTGGAGTTGTAGTTCACCTACATTCCGAACTCCACCAATGATGGATCTGAACCAAACTTGGCACACAGGACTCCCCTGACCAACAGAAAATACTGGAAGGGTTTGGTGGACATTGACCTTGAGTTCTGGAGTTGTAGTTCACCTACATTCCGAACTCCACCAATGATGGAATTGAACCAAACTTGGCACACAGGACTCCCCTGACCAACAGAAAATACTGGAAGGGTTTGGTGGGCATTGACCTTGAGTTTGGGAGTTGTAGTTCACCTACATCCAGAGAGCACTGTGGACTCAAACAATGATGGATCTGGACCAAATTTGGCACAAATACCTGATGCACCCAAATTTGAACACTGGTGGGGTTGGGGGAGGTTGATGTTGTCAGTTGGGATTTATAGTTCACCTACAATCCAGGAGCATTTTGAATTCCACCAAGGATGGAATTGAACTTGACACACAGAACTCTAATGACCAACAGAAAATACTGGAAGGGTTTGGTGGACATTGACCTTGAGTTTTGGAGTTGTAGTTCACCTACATCCAGAGAGCACTGTGGACTCAAACAATACCTGATTTGCTAGATGTATTTTCATTCACTGGACCAAATTTGGCACAAATACCTGATGCACCCAAATTTGAACACTGGTGGGGTTGGGGGAGGTTGATGTTGTCAGTTGGGATTTATAGTTCACCTACAATCCAGGAGCATTTTGAATTCCACCAAGGATGGAATTGAACTTGACACACAGAACTCTAATGACCAACAGAAAATACTGGAAGGGTTTGGTCATTGACTTGAGTTTTGGAGTTGTAGTTCACCTACATCCAGAGAGCACTGTGGACTCAAACAATGATGGATCTGGACCAAACTTGGCACGAATACTCAATATGCCCAAATGTAAACACTGGTGGAGTTTGTGGAAAATAGACCTTACCATCTGGGCGTTATGGTTGCTGGGATGTATAGTTCACCTAGAGTCAAAGAGCATCTTGAACCCAACCAACAATAAAATTGGGCCAAACTTCCCACACAAAACCCCCATTACCAACAGAAAATACTGTGTTTTCTGGTGGTCTTTGGTGACCCCTCTGACACCCCCTCGCGACCCTCCAGGGGGCCCGACCCCCAGGTTGAGAAACACTGGTCTAGAGGCATTCTTTCCTGACGTTTCGCCTGCATCTATGGCAAGCCTCCTCAGAGGTAGTGAGGTCATAGATGCAGGTGAAACGTCAGGAGGAAAAGGGCTAGACCAGCGGTTCTCAACCTGGGGGTCGCGACCCCCCGGGGGGTCGTTTGGCCATTTTCTGGGGGTCGCCAAGCCGCATTGGCTAGCCACGCCCCCTCCAAAATGGCGGCCGACCCACAAGTCAATTGTACTGATAGGCTGCTCCTCCTGATCTTCCCAGAGATCTGTGGATAGTCAGGAGGAGAAACTTTGGATGAAGAAGACTAACCATTTGGATGAAGAAGACTCACCTCTGTTCCGGGCTAAAGGGTGAATAAACGTCGATCCGCCCAAGATGGAGGCGAGGGGCGGGCGGGAGACTCCGGTGGCGCTAGGTCACAGGCAGAGCCTCCCGCCCGCCTCCCGTCTCCTTCAGCTGGAAGATGGAGGCGAGGAGCGGGTGGATGGCTCTGCCTGCGGCCTAGTCGCCACCGGAGCATCCCGCCCGCCTCCCGTCTCCTTCTGCAGCTTGAAGATGGAGGCGAGGGGCGGGCGGGAGGCTCCGGTGGCGCTAGGCCGCAGGCAGAGCCATCCACCCGCTCCTCGCCTCCATCTTCCAGCTGAAGGAGACGGGAGGCGGGCGGGAGGCTCTGCCTGCGGCCTAGCGCCACCGGAGCCTCCCGCCCGCCTCCCGTCTCCTTCTGCAACTTGAAGATGGAGGCGAGGGGCGGGCGGGAGGCTCCGGTGGCGCTAGGTCACAGGCAGAGCCTCCCGCCCGCCTCCCGTCTCCTTCAGCTGGAAGATGGAGGCGAGGAGCGGGTGGATGGCTCTGCCTGCGGCCTAGTCGCCACCGGAGCATCCCGCCCGCCTCCCGTCTCCTTCTGCAGCTTGAAGATGGAGGCGAGGGGCGGGCGGGAGGCTCCGGTGGCGCTAGGCCGCAGGCAGAGCCATCCACCCGCTCCTCGCCTCCATCTTCCAGCTGAAGGAGACGGGAGGCGGGGGGAGGCTCTGCCTGCGGCCTAGCGCCACCGGAGCCTCCCGCCCGCCTCCCGTCTCCTTCTGCAGCTTGAAGATGGAGGTGAAGGGCGGGCGGGAGGCTCCGGTGGCGCTAGGCCGCAGGCAGAGCCTCCCGCCCGCCTCCCGTCTCCTTCAGCTGGAACATGGAGGCGAGGAGCGGGCGGGAGGCTCTGCCTGCGGCCTAGTCGCCACCGGAGCATCCCGCCCGCCTCCCGTCTCCTTCTGCAGCTTGAAGATGGAGGCGAGGGGGGGCGGGCGGGAGGCTCCGGTGGCGCTAGGCCGCAGGCAGAGCCATCCACCCGCTCCTCGCCTCCCTCTTCCAGCTGAAGGAGACGGGAGGCGGGCGGGAGGCTCTGCCTGCGGCCTAGCGCCACCGGAGCCTCCCGCCCGCCTCCCGTCTCCTTCTGCAGCTTGAAGATGGAGGTGAAGGGCGGGCGGGAGGCTCCGGTGGCGCTAGGCCGCAGGCAGAGCCTCCCGCCCGCCTCCCGTCTCCTTCAGCTGGAAGATGGAGGCGAGGAGCGGGTGGATGGCTCTGCCTGCGGCCTAGTCGCCACCGGAGCATCCCGCCCGCCTCCCGTCTCCTTCTGCAGCTTGAAGATGGAGGTGAAGGGCGGGCGGGAGGCTCCGGTGGCGCTAGGCCGCAGGCAGAGCCTCCCGCCCGCCTCCCGTCTCCTTCAGCTGGAAGATGGAGGCGAGGAGCGGGCGGATGGCTCTGCCTGTCAGTTATGGCCAGTCAGTTATATTACATTTCTTACAGAGCAAAGCAAATAAACAGAAAATACAAAATGTGTGAGTTTGGTAGTTTATTAAATGTCCTTTGAACATCATCTGGCCCCTTGATGTTGCCGCAAGAAGGCTCTCCATGGTGCATGTGGCTGGGCTCAGGTTGCATTGCACCAGGTGGTCAGTGGTTGGCTCTTCTACACACTCACATGTTGAGGATTCCACTTTGTAGCCCCATTTCTGAAGGTTGGCTCTGCATCTTGTGGTGCCAGAGCGCAGTCTGTTCAGTGCCTTCCAAGTCGCCCAGTCCTCTGTGTGCCCAGGGGGGAGTTTCTCATTTGGTATCAGCCATTGGTTGAGGTTCTGGGTTTGAGCCTGCCACTTTTGGACTCTCGCTTGCTGAGGTGTTCCAGTGACTAGGCCACAGGCAGAGCCACCCCCCTGCACCTCGCCTTAACAGTTACAAAGTAGCAACATATATAATTTTATGGTTGGGGGTCACCACAACATGAGGAACTGTATTAAGGGGTCACAGCATTAGAAAGGTTGAGAACCACTGCTCTAGACCATGGCCATACAGCTCAAAAAAAACCTACAACCCACTGTTTACTCTTTCTTTGCACTTCCCATTCTATAAGCAGGTAAACAAACCAAGGAGGAGATAACTTTGCATGATTTCCATAGCCAAAATTAGCTGGTTTCGTCAGACAGGACTGGCAGGTCTTTAACCCCTGTGTATGTGGGGAGATCCATCATTCTGTAATGGTTTTTGTGCTGGACTAGAATTTTACATGGATAAAGGTTCAAATCCCTGCTCGGCTATGGAAATCCACTGGGTGGCTCTGGGCAAGTCATACTCAGCTTCAGAGAAAGGCAAAAGCAAATGCCATCTGACCAAATCTTGTCATGAAAGCATCACAACAAAGATTGAGATATATTTGAAACATGTCGTTCAACTTGAGGAATTTAGGGCTCCTCCAAGAAAGGCAGAAATGTTGGCATTTGCAATATTTGTGACTTTCCAAAAAAGAAATACAAAGAATGCTTCTGTTATCTAGAACTATTTTCCAGCAGTTCCCAGAACTACTTGAACATTGCTATTGCGATATTGGAACAAAAAAGTATAACTCTCTTCTTCTCCTTTGTCTCTCTCTCTCTCAAAAAGAATAGACTTCTCATGTTGTGAAGTGTGTTAATGAAAAAGCACTTTTGCACGGTAACACCTCAAGGCTAAGGGGAAAAAAATGCAGCAAGAGAAATCCTGCCCTTCAAAAACCACTGGAGCATCTCAGCAAATCACTCCTTGTTTTTTTTTAAGCCTTTAAAAGAG